CTCGCAGGTGGACACGCACCATTAAAGTTATTCTAACATAAACAAAAATGTTAAAGTAAAGCTTTGTAAACCTTGTAAATTTTGACATGCAAAATAATTAAATTTACTAAAATTAAATGTTTCTATTACACATAATTTAAGCTAAACTAATTAATATTATCTAAGGCGTAAGACGCTACGACAATGCCTATGCAATACGTGTGCTACCTGTTACTACGTTTACGCGAGCGTTACTTCGGTAGTAACTTACGATAATTCACTCGTTTACGCGGAGTAAATTATCGTAAGCTACCCCCCCCCTATTCGGCTGTATACTTTTATTTCTAACACTCTGTATATATTAAATATACATATAATACATGTATATTATATGTATATATGTATAATTACTTAAAGGACAATGAGATATTTTTCCAAGTAAAGATACGTGTAAATGTGTTCAAATTTTTAAACCAGTCCAAGACTAATAAATTGTAATACAAACTTGTTAAATAAATTGAGATAAATCAAGTTACCGTTGAAAAAGGCGGAATAGGATTTGTTACGACTAAAAATAGGAGCAAATCTACCGCTAATTTAACATTGGTCTTCCAAAAATGTATTGTCAAAATTGAATCGTCTCTTGACAGACTTGTAAATGTAGTTGACATAAAGAAAAACGGAATTGAATGGATTGTGCGATGCGTGCATACGTGTGTGATTGAAGAATCTGAAAAATAGATTTTGGAAATTTTTACTTTGGACTTGTGATATTTTTACGGATTCAATCTCGACATTTTGAGTATAATTACTACACCAATTTCGACTTGGACTAGTCGCAATGTCAAGTATTACGCTTCGACATTACAATATTAGATAAATGTTACATTTTTTATTACGGTTTTAGTTATTTCAGGTTCTTCGGGATATGATATGATGATAAGATCCAAATAATACAAAATAAATTGAAATTAATAAAATGTTTAAATTTTATTCGTCACAAATAATAAAAAAGGAAAGCGGCACTACAAGCAGATTTGTCCTGTCCTTAACATCTTGCCGCAAGACTGTCTTATTAGAATGCTCAGTCTATTATATACGTCTTATATGTAAATATGTTATGTATTTATTTTCTTTTTACTTGTATGGCTGATGGCAAAGAACGAAAAGTAGGCTCTTATGTGGCACGCCGTTTTGCTATTTTTATTCATAAAAATAATATTTGCCATTAATTTTACGTGAATATAAAATAAATTTAACAATATATTTGTATTTGGGTAAACAGTATAAGTAGAAGGGTAACAGCAACTTTTACACTCGGGCATGCGCTTGCGGTTAGTGGAGTCGGGGGGTGCCTCGTTGACGCGGGAGGAACGCCGTAAGCGGTGGGCGAGGGGGTCGAGGGACGGTGTTAAGGGTCATCAGTGGGGGGATGTCGCGGGGGGAAAAGTCCCTAGGCGACTTACTAATATTTGCCGGGCGAGAAGGGGAGCGCGACGAGAGGGGACGGCTATTTACTAGTATTTGTGGGGACCTTGTAGGACGTAAATTCCCTAGGCGGGTAATTAGGAATATCGCGCCGCAGGGTCGCCAACAGGGCTCGGTGCGGGCACGCGGGCGTTCCGAGGGGTCGCTCGGAGCGGCGCTCCCGCCGTTATCGACCGTTTTGAAAATCGCGATTTAATTTTTTTCGCTCGCGCCCGGGCGCGTCCGAACTCGCTCGAACTCGTTTGAGGTCGTTCCTGTCGACGTCCCGCGCGGCGTTGGTACGAGTGAGCGCGCGAAAAATGCGTTCAAGGTCGTTCCATTCGCAGATCGCGGTTATCTTTCTTCGATATTGTTTTTTCTCGGTTTGAAGGTCGTTCTGATCTTTCCCCGCGTATCGCGGATGACGCGATCGCCGCAATTTCGGGGGTAAACGTGGTCGTGTAGAGATAGATATACGGATCTGGGAAAAAAGGGAAAAAAGAAAGAGAGAGCGCACAGATAAGATACGTACTTTTTTTATTTTGAAAAAATACACGCACGTCGACGTGCGTTTACATTATTTCGCGCGTATAAATATATATTTGTAGACGCGCGTCGCGACATTATTAGAATCGGAAACAGAACGCGGTGATCTCACAGTCGACAATGTTGTTAAGATCAAAGAATTCGCTCTTCAGTATCGCAGTCTGAGCCGAAGTTCCCACTTTGATCGCGTTGGCGGCTATCTCCCGATAGCGCGAAAACTTCGCGTCGACCTCCTCGGTCGCCGTGCTCAGCGCCGAGACGATGCGATCGACGCAAAATTGGAGATCGTACAGCGTGATCAGGGTTTTGAGCGCCATCGCCACGCGAGGCGCGTTGGGTAGCTCCATACGTAGGATTGACAGGTTGTTGATCAATCCGAATCGCAGCGTCATTCCTCCGATCGATATGAAGGGGGGGCGGGTTCCATCAAGGATGGATTGCATGGACGACAATATGTCGCGTTTGCGCTCGACCAGTCCTTTCCACATGTCGAGCGTCAGGGAGACTTCCCTGCCTTGTTTATCTCCCAGGGCGATATCCACTTACGAAGGCGTGGTATGTATACTGTACCACGGTAACTTAATCGTGATACCTATGGCTATGTACTTGTAGCCAGTCGTCGTCAGCAGATAACGCGTCGTCAGGACGCGCACTGCGGGCAATTCGACGGGCATGTCGGTGAGAAGGTGAGAGCTGGAACGCGACTCCCGATGATGATGACGATGGTGATTGTCCGTCGGATCGATCCTTCGTATTTTATTGCCGTTGTCGTTCATCTCCGAATCCGCCTCGCGAGGGAAAATACCCTTCGGCGCGGGTTGATCGGTCAACATCGAGAACATTTTGCACGCGCGCTGCAGTAACCGTTCGTTTCTGATGTTTTCCGACGCGTCGTATTCGGCTGGCGATGCGATACTGATGCTTTGGGGGGGG